GTATGGGTTTATCGGATTTTAATAGTTTTGCAGTATTCTCACTGCCCAATACACCATTTAAAGTAATTGGTGACATTTAATGTACACCATTGTTCATGGAATTGTCTAACCCATCTTAAGCATTTTGATTGGTTATCAACTTGCTTCCGCATCGTGGATGATAAAAGATTGCAAAATATGTAAGAACTATTTTAAAATCTATAAAGTCAACAAAGAAGAATTCGTGTTTGAACTGTAATCACTTACCTAAGATTAACAGACTTTTGAAATTGATTGAAACTCTCTGATAAACTGCACTTTCTACCATTTGTTCTGGTGGGGAGACCCGGTCCTTAGAGCATTAATGGAAATAGCATAGTTAATATATAATCACTCCGCAATTGCCGCGAATTCCAAACGTTTGTTCAAAGCTAATCCACTTTACAGGAATAGTAGAATAAGCTGCCCTTTGTATAAGCACATTTTTAAAATCGTCTTTTCCAATATGTAAGGCAGAGACTGTGGTGAAAGCATCTATTGACCATGATGCCACAGAAGTGATATTCAAATAGCTTAAATACGAGAAGCAGGTGGTAAAATGTTTAATTAAAATTTTTAATTTTTCTTCTCCTTTTCACTCAGCTTCACATAAAGTCCGTTAGCTGGTTTTTTTGTAAGTGTCAAAAATGCCACAAGTTTTGTCAAGCATGTAAAAGAAGTAAAGAAGAAAAGTATTCTTTGAAACCATATTTTTTTGTTAAAAAAACCTGCAATCTCTGTTAAAGTAAAGAAGTAAAAAAACTAAATAACGTAGTCAATAAAATTTTAAACTTTAGTAAAGCAACAAAACTGAAAAGAACACATAAATTGTCGACAAAACCAACCTAAATCTTATAATGCCGATAATTTCTATGGATAATTTATTGACTATTGAACTTTATACTAGTTATTATTATAATTTAATATTTTGCTTCTTTCTTAGCCTAATTACACGTCTTCATCATTCGATTGATTAACTTTCACACCCTCGCAAACTTTAGTTGGTACTTTCTGGTGCTCTATTTGTAATTTTTTTAAACTCAAACCATTCGATAAACCATTCGATATGGCATATGTCAGTTTTGGACCTCTGAACAGTTGAACTTGTTTGCCAAGCAAACTTCTCTTCTGGAAAATAAAATTAATTTGTCGAACTTCATAAGTGGAGCTGTCGCGGGTGTGCGTCCGTCATTGTAACCACTCCCCTAGATGTAGTGCGTACTCGTCTTGTAGCCTAGGATATAAGCAAAGGTTATCGCAATGCTAATGAGCAGTAGACGCTATAATTCATCAGTAGGGGAGGCATGTGCCGTGGCCTATCATCAGCTCTAATATAAATTACCCCTCCAATGGGTTCAAACTTTATGTTTTATCGACTATTTTCTCAGCCGGCTTGTCAAAAATTCCATGTGGAAGAGCGGCAAGTTACCATCTCAAAAAATAAAAAAATAGAGTTAAGCATCATTTCTAGGCCTTAATTCATTTGACCTTGCAGCCAGTCCCCAGCGTGTACTTTACTTATAATGGGGGCTTCTTCGGGGATGCTTTTAAAAAGTATAGTTTATCCCTTTGATTTGATTAAGAAATGCCTGCATATACAAGGTTTCGAATCAAATCGTCAAACATTCGGTCACTAGCGCTATTGAATATATCCTTGACACCCAGACGTTGCAAAGACTCTTCTTCAATTGCTTTACCTGCGCATAGATGGACGTTGTTATAGAGAAAAATCACTTTTCGAGTTCCTTTATAATACATATGAAAAGACGAATTGGCTTACGCATGGATATGCGTATGAAGTAAACCAATTCTGAGAGCCAAATACATTTTTTCCCATTGATTTTTTTCCATTATGTCTCAGAAATAAATCAGAAGAAGAATGATAAGAGCAATGGTCTAATTATGGGAAACTATTCTGATATATAAGGTGTTTGCGGAAATGTTGATCAGTGACTTGTCAGAAATAATGGCTAAAATCGATGGTGTTGACCATCCTCAACAAAAAATAGCAGTTTTCCATTTATTCTTATAGACTTATTCAGCGTAAGCCGACCATGAAACGATAAAAGAAAGCGGTTTTCCACACCATCCTTGAGGTACCGCAAAAGACGCCTTGCCAATATTTTGAATGGCTGGCTCCCCTGTAGGCCTACACCATTATAAACCTTATTTAAAACTCATATAACATTTACAACAATAAATAACGCCCCACTCATTACTATAATATAATATAAATATGTATTATAAATGCGTATAATGTAGACATATATAAGATAAATAAATAAATATACGGCGGTATACTGTTTGACAGTGGTGGTGCGTTGAGCGGTTGTTGATATCTGCATAGGTAAATTAATGTAATTGCTAAATTTTATATATAATCTATATATAAAGGTATATATATGTAATTTACAAATTTCATATATAACGGTGATCCCAAACTTACCATGTGGCCTGTGGAGGTATCGCATTCCGCTGAAGCGATAGTGCAGGTGTATGTTTGTTTTTTTAATCTAAAATGAAAGAAAAGCAAATGAATAATTTATACATAATAATAAGAAAGGGTAAATGCAAACTTACCTCTGGCATATAGCGAATCTTCGTCTACACACTAAATACACTAACCCACTCTAGTTAAGATCATTTAACTCTAAGTTCCTATTAGAAACGCTAGGCTTGTTATTTTCACGCAGAATTGTAATACAACGCTGTATGACCTAGCTGTATATATAAGTATGAATATAGCTTTCAGCAAGTTAGTAACGTGGGTAAACACACCTCGTGGTGAAAGCTTTAAATAGCAATGCAGTGGTGTGGCAGGCAACAGTTATAAAAGCAGCGCGCAAGCAGCAATCTTTCGTTTAGTTGGTTCAGCAGCAGTTGAACGAACAAGTAAGTCAGAGCAGTAGTAGCTGTCGTACTGTCCATTCGGAACGGGGTCCGTACGATAACAGTGTACGCTTGCATCATTGTCTTACAGATCTTCGGCCCGAATGGATGGCCTAGCTTTATAGCATACCAGTAATTAGCTCGTAGGTATTGTCCGTCCGGAACGTGGTCCGTAAAATAACAGTGTACGCTTGCATCACTGTCTTACAGATTTTCGGCCCGAAAGGATACTTTAGGTCGTAGGTA